GTGGGCATATGCGTACAGGCGTGCACTTTGTGCCGTAAACGCATGTACACGCACATGTGTGTGTGTGTGCGTGTATGCGTGTGCGTGCGTGCGTGTGTGTGTGTGTGTGTGTGTGTGTGTGTGTGTGTGTGTGTGTGTGTGCGTACGTGCGTGCGTGTGTGCTGAACCTGGCTGTTTTGCTTTGTCTTCTTTGCCTTTCAGCTTGAACCCTCACCGCCGACATCACCACCATGCCCACCGCCACCACCATCGTGACCAGTCGCGGATGGTGAGAAGAGCGAGTTTCTTCTGTCTGTCAACGACTTTCTATTCGAGACCAAAACAGATCACATGCACTTCTTCAAGCTGCTGGTGCGTTTGGTTTGCTGCTCATGAGAGTATGCGCGTAGTTGTGGTCACTGTGGTCCCTATGTATTGCGTACGTGTGTTCATGTGTGTGTTCATGTGTGTGTGTGTGTGTTCATGTGTGTTCATGTGTGTTCATATGTGTGTGTGCGGATGTGTCTGTCCATCTGCATACCTGCGTGCATGTGTTGGCTCTCTTGGGCAATGACATGCGGTGCAGTGTTCTCACCGTCACCGACCTTTTCACTCCCTCCCCCTCCCGCCTCCCATGCACATTGCCATGTGCATCAGCGCTACTGTGAGAAGAGTGAACTGCACCGGAAGGTGAGAATCTGTAGCGCGAGGGTCAAGTTGCTTGCGTGAGGGATGGTTTCGTCGCTCCTGTCGAGGTGTGCGTGTCCTTATCATGTATGCATGTGCAATCTCACCCGTATCCACCACCACCACCACCACCACCACCACCGCGTCATCACGATGAACCCATCAGCTGCTCGGATATACACAGCGCCACCTTCCGTCTGTGTTTGACAGCGGCAACGGCGATGTGGGCGAGAGCAGCGGTGCACTTCGCAGCAAACACATCTCACCACTTCGCGGCGTGCAGGCGTTTATCGAATCGCTCACACACGCGGACGAGGACGGGCGCATTGTTGTTCGGCGCAGGTAATAACACCACCGCCACCATAATTGGGGGGACGGGGGATGTGGAGGCGGAGCAGCATCTGCGTGCACATGCATGCTCGTGCATGTTGTTGTTGTTTAAGTTGTTGTTTAAGTTGTTGTTTAAGTTGTTGTTTAAGTTGTTGTTGTTTAAGTTGTTGTTTAAGTTGTTGTTGTTGTTGTTGTGAATGGGTGTTGTCCTGGCACTTTTATGTTTGTTGTAATGATTGTGAGTCGCTGGCGTGCTGTCAATGGCACACGTGTGGACAACACAAGACAGCCTCCGTCTCATGCAACCATGTGTATCTCTCCACCGTCAGCGGGCGGGATGCAAGCCTGCAGTTTATGCTCCTCAACCCGGCCATCTACTTTGAAGAGGTTGCTTGTCGCTTGTATACGTGTTTCATGTACCATGTGCAAATTTGTGTGTATTGTGTGTGTTTGTGTGTTTGCGCGTGCGTTTGTGTACATACATGCACGGGTTCGTTCGTGTGCGCGCACATGCATTTGTGTACGTATGTGTACATGCACGTGTACGCGTGTGTGCCTGGCGAGTTGCCAGATCTCATGGCATCACCAATTCCTCACGCAAGGGGTGTGTTCCTGCTGTAGGTGTTGTTGAAGGCGCGAGCGGTGGCTGTTGTTGGCGGAACGATGGGATCCATGTCCGAGTTTGTGCAGCACCTGCAAACGCCAAAGACGCGTGCACTCAAGGTGAGCACGCGCACATGGTATTGGTATTGCTTGTCTGATTCAAGCGCACACAAACACACACACACACACACACACGTGTTCACGCACACACACACACACACACACACACACACACACACACACACACACACACACACACACACACACACACAGCACGCGCACATGGTATTGGTATTTCTTGTCGGATACAAGCGCACACACACACACACACACACACACACACACACACACACACACACACACACACACACACACACACACACACACACACACACACGTGCTCACGCACGCACACACACACACACATGCGCACGTGTGATCGCGCACGCACGATTCATTCTCGCACTCAATTGCTTTGGAGCTCAGATTGCCTTGCACCATCAATTCAATACCCTTGTTCGTACACGGACTGTCACTGTCGTCTTTGTCCTCGTCATTGCCATGACTGCTGCAGGTTTCGACGTTCTCGTGCGGGCATGTTGTGAACGGCAACAACATCATTGCGCTCGCCGCCACACACGGCCCAACAAACGAGCCGTTCCGGTTCACCTTTGCAAACCGGAAGAACAAGGCGGTGGGTCGTGCATGTCGCTGCACAGCGCATCTGAACACATTGCACACATTGCACAAATTGCACAAATTGCACGCATTGCACACATTCTGCACATGGTACAGTTGTGTTTTGATTTTCTGTCTCACACCAGCGTCCCCTCCCCGCTTGCCTGCTTCACCTCTTTGCGCGCAGATGGTAGAAGGGCTGGGGCGGCTGCTTGTGAACGTGTGTCGAGTTGTTCCTGCCGGTGTCGTTGTGTTCTTTCCTTCCTACGACACAGAGGACTTTATTTATCAGCACTGGAAGGCGTGCGGTGTCCTCGACAGCTTGCAGGTGGGCACGTGTATCTGTGTGCATGCGTGTGCCTCTCTGTGTGTGTGTGCCTGTGTGTGTGTGTGTGTGTGTGTGTGCCTGTGTGTGTGTGAGTGTTGTGCTAGCGTGTATGTGTGTGAGTGTCTGTCTGCGTGTCCGTCTGTCTGTCTGCCTATGAACTGATGCTGCGTGTGTCAACTGTATTGCGGGGGACGCCAATGGAGCAGCGGCTGAAACAGGTTGTGCGTGAACCAAGAGCCGCCGGCAAGACAGACGAGTGTCTCACAGAGTATAGCAACGCCGTGCAACAGGTCTGGGTCGTGTGTGTTGTGTCAAAGTGTGCATACATGTGTCTGTGCGCGCGTGTGTTTGTGCTGTGCACGTGTGCATGTCAAAGTTGGCGGCAACATGATAGCGCATGTGTTCTGTAAGCGCACTTGTGCGAGTGTACGTGCATGCGCGCGAGTATGTGAGAGCTGAAACCTTCCCATGTTACAGTAGCAGAACGCTTGCACACTTCAGCGCGACCAAGCATTGCCCACGGCCTTCACATGATCTCTTTTTCACTTCAAACTGCCACGCGTTGGTTGTTTCCAGGGGCGGGGTGGCCTGCTGTTTGCTGTGGTGGGCGGAAAGCTGAGCGAGGGCATCAACTTCAAGGTCCGATGTGTGCACGCATGCACACAGAGACAAGCAAGCAGGCGATCAACCAATCACACAATACACACACACACACATGCACACCAGAATGCCACCTTGATAGCAGCACGCACGCACCGCACTAGCCTCTAACACGCCGACCGTGCATGGATGCATGCATGCACGCAGGACGATCTTGGCCGCTGCGTGGTGATGGTGGGCCTGCCCTATCCAAACCGCCACAGCCCCGCGCTGCAAGAGAAGATGGCGTATCTTGACAAGCGCGCCGGCAGCGGTGCGCGCAACGCAAACGGTCAATCCCCAGGCGAGGTACACGTGTGTGTGTGTGTGTGTGTGTGTGTGTGTGTGTGTGTGTGTGTGTGTGTTGTGTGTGTGCGTGTGCGTGTGTGTCTGTGTGTGTGTGTTGTGTTGTGTGTGTGTGAGGAGTCTTGCGTGCCCTCTCTGTGCGTCACATGCCTTGTGCGTTTGTTTGTTGCTGGTGTCGTCTACTGTCCGTTTTCTCATCCCGTCACCGTCTGTGATGCCAGGCGTACTATGAGAACCTGTGCATGAAGGCTGTGAACCAGTCGATTGGCCGAGCTATTCGCCACCGCAACGACTATGCTGGTATTCGCGGCTGCTCTGTGTCTGTGCGGTGTCTTTGATTGCATTTAATGGTTGTCATCGTAGTTCATCTAAGCACACACACACGCACGCACGCACATGTATACTCACACATGCACATGTATACTCACACGCATGTGTATACTCACACACACACACACACACACGCACGCTTACATTCGTTCAACCTCTTTCTCAGCAATTCTGCTTGTGGACGACCGATATGCGCGACCCCGGATTGCGTCGCAGCTGCCCGAGTGGATGCAGCCGTACCACACCACCGTCGACAAGATGGGCGGTGTTGTGCGCCACCTCTCCACATTCTTTCGGAAACGTAAATGAGCTCACGCAGCGTAGCTTGTCGAACGAAACTCACTAAACGAACTCAAAATCCCCGCTTTCATCACACACACACACACACATTATTCGAGGGGTTTGGTGGATGCGTGTTTATGTGGGGCTTTTGTCAACCAGATTTTCGTTTCCCCCCAAGCGTAGGTGGAACCCGAGAAGAAATCAACGAAGAAGAGATAAGAAAAGAAACAAGAAACAAATCATCAGCGCGCAAGAAAGAAAAGCAACAGTGAGAGCCAAACGTCATCATCATCAACATCGCAAACGCAACACAAGCTGAACGCACGCGCTCAAGACGCCAAGCGGTTACTGTGCGGCCTGCGCGGCCTGCTGGTTGGCCTGCTGTGCGGGCTGCTGCTGCTGCTGGTTGCCCTGCTGCTGCTGGTTGGCGGGCGCCGCGGCGTTGCCGGCGAGGATGTTCTGGGCAAGCATGACCTGCTCGCGAAGGGCTGCGTCGCTGGCCAGCAGGTTCATCAGGTGGCCGGCGTCGTACGCAAGCAGCATGCCCGTGATCTTGGGGGCGCGCTCCTTGTCAATGTTTGCGACGCGGTGGTACAGCATATCGCCGAGGTACCGGCGGCGCTGCTCCTCATCCATGTGCGCAAGCTGCGACGTCACATCCTGTGGCAGCTGCATCTGCTGCTGCTGGCCCTGGGGCGCCTCTTGTTGCATCTGCTGCATCTGCTGCTGTGGCGGCATCTGCTGCTGCCCGGCAAACTGCTGGCGGAACTGCTGTGGGTTGCGCGCCATCTGCTGCTGCGCCTGGGGCGGCATGGGCCTGTTCTGCTGCTGCATGTAGCGGTTTGGCCCGCCGACAGGGCCGCCGCGGTTGCCGGCCTGTGCGGGGAAGTTCATGGCGCGCGGCATCTGCGGGTTGACCATCATCATCTGCGGGTTGTAGTAGCCGGGGCCAAACGCGCCCATGGGCATGCCGGGGTACTGCGGGTACATGTACATGCCCTGCTGTGGGTGCTGTGGGTGCTGCTGCTGCTTCCTGGCGCGTGAGGTGGAATGCAACGTAGATGGGGCGGTCCTGCAGTGGCTGGCGGTTCTTCTTGGCAATGGCAGACTCGGCCTCCTCGCGCGTGGCAAAGGTGACAAAGCCAAAGCAGCGCGAGACACCCTCCTTGTCGCGCATCACCTTGACGCTCATGACGTGGCCGCACTCCTCAAAGAACTTGCGCAGGTCCTCCTCCGTCACGTTCTCGTTGAAGTTCTTGACGTAGAGGTTGCCACCGCGCTGGCGGAGCTCGCGACGGCGCTCCTGCAGCCTGCGGCGAAGGCGGCGGATGCGCTCCTGTTTCTTCTGGGCGCGCTGCACGTACAGCTTGGCCTTGGAGATGTGGTCGGTTGCAGCCTCCATCTTCTCAGGAAGGCCCGTCATGGCCTTGTCGACCGTCTCCTCGCCGTGCTCCTTGAAGAGGATAAAGCCAGAGAGCTTGCCGTCGGCGACCTGCAGGTGGTGGCGCTCGACCTCGCTGCCGGCGCACTCCTCAACCGTCTTGACAAAGTCCTCGACCTTCTTGCCCTCCTCAAAGGCCATGCCGTCGACGTAGAAGATGTCGCGCTGGTGCATCTCGCCCTCCTCGACGCACTTCTGGGCGGCCTCGGTGTCGGCAAAGTTGACAAAGCCGTAGGGGCGCTCCGTGTCCTTGAGCTTGTAGGTGCGCAGGGCCTTGGAGGTGATGTCGCCGTAGGGCTCAAAGAGCTTGCCCAGCTCCTCCTCGTCGGCGCCGCGGCGCAGGGACTTGACGTAGACGTTGGTGAAGTTCTTGGTGCGCTCCTCCTGCTCCTGCTCGCGCTGCTTGCGGGGCTTGAAGGGGGCGACGCGCAGCTTGCGGTCGCCGCCGGCGTCCTTGCCGTTGGCCTCGGCAATGGCGCGCTCGGCGACCTTGGGGTCCTCAAAGTGCACAAAGCCAAAGCCGCGGCAGCGGCCGCTGTGGTCCAGGACGGCCTTGCAGGAGAGGATCTTGCCAAACTGCTCAAAGGTGTCGCGCAGGTGGACGCTGGTGGTGTCCGCGGGCAGGCCGCTGATGAAGATGTTGCCGACGCCGGAGCGGCGCTTCTTGGGGTCGCGCTCGACCTTCATGATGCGGATGTGGCGGCCGTGCAGGTCGTGGAAGTTGAGCTGGCCCATGGCGGCCTCGGCGTCCTCGGCCTTGTTGAAGTTGACGTAGCCGTAGCCGAGGGAGCTGCGGGTGATCTGGTCGCGGCACACGCGCACGGACATGACGCTGCCAATGGAGGAGAAGAGGTTGAACAGCTCCGTCTCGTTCACCTGGGGCGAGAGGTCGCCGACGTACAGGGACGCGGCTGCGCCCTGCGGGTTGGCGGGGACGGGGCCGGCGACGCCAGGGGCGCCAGGGAACGCCTGCTGAGGCTGCTGCTGCATGGGCGCGGGACCGGTCGTGGCGCCAACGGCACCCTCGCCCTGCTGCTGAGCTGCGACAAACTGCGGCTGGGCTTGAGCCTGGGCGGGTTGCTGCTGGGTTGCCTGGGCTTGAGCCTGGGCGGGCTGCTGCTGAGCAGCGGCGGCTTCGGTCTGGCTGGCCATGATGCTTGGTGTTTCTTGCTGGTGATATGAAACGGACAACGTGTGTTTGTTCCTTTGGGTTCCTTGCTTGTTTTTTTGTTTTTATGGTCCCTCCGCGAAGAAGATGGGATGAGCTAGCAGAAGAGCACAATGGTGCTGAAGTGGGGTTTTGGTGCGGAGGAGTTGAGGGTTATATTGGGGGGTAAGCTAACGAACGAACGAGCAGACACGCGTGGGCGCGACGCTTGACTGTGTGGTTGTGAGTTCTGTCGACAAAAGAAATGGCAGCACGCGTGCGCGCGCGAGAGAGAGAACAGAAACGAAGGAAAGAAGGCGGCAGCGCCACACGCGCCCAAAACGTTGACGTTGCCGCAAGAAACAAGCGAAATGTACAATCACGTGGCTGACGAATTTTTTTAATTGTTGGTGGGAGTGCTTGGGCCCGTCCCATACGGTGCGCGAACACTTGTGCTTCTGACTTGTGCTTGGTGCTGTGGCTTGTGCTTGTGCTATGGCTTGTGCTTGTGCTGTGGCTTGTGCTTGTGCTTCTTCCTCTCCTCCCTCCCTCATGCAAACCAGCCTCGCCTCCCGTATCCACTTGATGCCCCTCATTCCATGTGAAAACAACAACGCAACAAAGCTAGTCCTGTGCCTGCCTGCCTGCGTGTGGCGAGCGTCAGGCAGGCTGGCCGTGATGTTTAGCAGCCGGCCTCGAGGTCAATAAGGGCTTCCACGGGTGCGCCAGCCTTTGCGATGCCGCCAAGGGAGGGCAGGCCAACAAGGCACACACACACCACAACCTCGGCACCAGCCTACGCAACAGCAGCAAAGATTTCGGTGGGGGGGGGAGTTACAATGAGGTCAACAGAATAAAGTTGAAGTGGGAGAGCGCAGACACAAACAGCAAGATATGTGTAAGAAAAGGAGCACAGACACAGAGACACACAGGCACAGGCACATGTTCATTCACACAGACACAGACACACAGACACACACAGACAGACACAGACAGACACAGACACACACAGACACACACACACACACACAAAGGATCATACCGCCTTGAGCAGGGAGACGGATGTCTGAAGGGTGCCGCCCGTGGCAATGAGATCATCGACAACGACAACACGCGCGCCAGGCTCGAGGCCAGCCTTCTGCAAACGGCGTGTGGAGCGGGCCACAGCAAGACATTCAAGAGAACGTGCGTGAGGTTAAGAGGGGAGGGGTGGGGAAACGAGAGATTGGGGCAGGGGGAATGACGTGGCAGGAAGCGTGCACACCACACCATGCGGGGTGCAATTGACGCAAGCTTCCACTGCGAGTACGAGACGGAGGTGCACACCTGGACTTCGAGGATGTCAGCACCGTACTCCTTGGTGGATTCGAGGGTGTGACACTTGCCAGGCAGCTGCGTTGGTGGATTGGCGAGAAAACAAAACAAAAGGTAGAAGGGAGGAGTGTTAATGAGAGCGGGTGCAACCCACAAACGCACATAGGCACTGATCGGTGCATCCAAGCACGCCAAAGACACGGCGACACACGCACGCAGCCAGGTAGGCAGGCACACAGACACACGTGCGCACACACAGACACACGTGCGTACACACACGTACACAGACGTACACAGACGTACACACGTACACACACACACACACACACACACACACACACACACACACACACACACACACACAGAGGAACACACCTTGCCCTTCTTGCGGATGGGGATGAAGCCGCAGTGGAGGCGGGAAGCGATGCTTGGGGCAAATAGAAAGCCGCGCGCATCCAAGCCAACAACATAGTCGATCACCGCAGATCGCTTCGTGACGACAGCGGCCATACGGTTCAAGATGATCTCCAACGCCACAGGATCGCGCAGCGCAGGGAAGACTTGACCACGATACAACCACGTGCACACAACCAGTGAGTGCAGGGCAGAGCCACACGAGGGCGCAAGGACACAAGGACACAGATGTACGGGTGCACAGGTGCAGGATGCAGATGTACACACAAATGCGTACACAGGTGCAGGATGTACACTTACACGCACGCACGCGCATATCACACGTACACACACACACACATACACACATACACACGCACGCGCATATCACACGCACACACACACACACATACACACATACACACGCACACACATACACACGCAGGCAGACAATCACCACTCACTGTCATGGAAAAGGATGCCTTCCGAGGGAAAGTTGGCGTGAGGCTGGATCAGGTTGCGCACATACTTGATGCCCTCATCGTCCTGGTATGGGTCGTGCTGGGCCTTGTCCTGCCCCTTTTGCTGCTGCTTCTGCTCGTCAGACATGGCGGTGGTGGCTCGTGATGTCGTGCGTCTCTGCGATCAGGACAGGGGTGTGGTGGAGGGGAAAACACAGCGAGCGAGCTTGCCGAGAAAAAGGATGTTGCGAAAGGCAGAAAGGGAAGAAGAAGCAGCAGAGAAGGACAGCAGTCGTTGACAAAAGAAACACAAATACGCACAGTCAGCGAACGAGCAAGGATGTGGAAGCTGTTGGGTGCGCCTGTGGCGATGGCCGTGGCTGGGGCTGCTCTGCAAGTGAGGGTGGCCCAGGCGCAGGGCGCAGCGAGCGCTGGTGGCAGCGGGGCGCCGAAACAGCAATCGCAGCGGTCGCATGTATCTGTGAACTCGCCCATGCCCAGCTCAACGGCAAGCAGCGCCATGCAGCACAGTCGCGATTTCGATGTGGTCATCATCGGCGCCGGCATCGTGGGGCTTGCCACGGCCCGCGAGATCATCAACCGCTACCCAGACAAGACCGTGTGTGTTCTTGAGAAGGAGGCGGAGGTGGCTGCCCACCAGACAGGCCATAACTCCGGCGTCATCCATGCAGGCATGTACTACGAACCGGGCAGCACCATGGCCAAGGTGTGTGTTTGTATGTGTGTGTGCTTGTGAGTGAGTGAGTGTGTGTGTGTGTGTGTGTTTGTGTGCGTGTGCGCGCGTGTGTGAGTATTTGTTTGTGTGCTTGTGAGAGTGTTTGTTTGTGCGTGTGTGAGTGTGTTTGCATGCACATGTGTTTGTCATCATGTGTTTGCATGCACATGTGTTTGTCATTGTGAGAGTGTGCTTGTGAGAGTGTTTGTTTGTGCGTGTGTGTGAGTGCGTTTGCGTGCACATGTGTTTGTCATCATGTGTTTGCATGCACATGTGTTTGTCATCGTATGTGTGCGTGGGATCCATACACGCACACATGCACGTTCCCTCTCTGTTCATGCATGCTGCTTGCCACCTTCACGCGCCTGATCTGGTTGTGCTCACCCAACAACATCTCTTCTCTGCGGTACATGCAGTGCTGCGTCCGAGGGCTAAACCTGATGTACGAGTACTGCGATCAAAAGGGCCTGCCCTATGACCGCTGCGGCAAGCTCATCGTGGCGGCCACGGAGGAGGAACACGCAACAGTGGAAGCTCTCTATGAGCGCGGCACCACCAACGGCGTGCGCGACCTGGAAATTGTGCATGCAGATCGCATGCGTGAGCTCGAGCCAAACGTACGCGGGTACTCGGCGCTCTACTCGCCGCACACCGGTGTCGTCGACTTTGCCGTCGTTGCCCGCAGCTTTGCAGAGGACCTGCTGCAGTCTGGCCGCGGCTCGCTTCGCCTGCGTTTCGAGGCAAAGCGCTTCGAGGAGACAACGGACGTCAGCGGTGGCGAGCGCATCGCCGTGTATGGCACCGAGCCTGGTCAGCGCGGGCCCGTGGTCTCCGTCACGGGCAAGCACGTCATCACGTGCGCGGGTCTGTACTCAGATCGGGTTGCGCGGGCGGCCGGCGGCAGCCGCAACCCACGCGTCGTGCCCTTCCGTGGCACATACTACCAGCTCAAGGAGGAGTACCGCAACCTGTGCCGCATGAACATCTACCCGGTTCCGGGCAACAGCGGCATCCCCGTGGGCGTGCACTTCACGCCAACCGTGAACGAGCGCCGTGGGCACGGCACCATCATCGGCCCAGGTGCATGCATCGCCTTTCATCGGGAGGGCTACACCTTCACAGACCTCTCGCTGCGCGACGTGTTTGATGCACTGACGCAGGTCGGCGTCATGCGCTTTGTGCTCAACAACTTCTCCCTGGCGGTGACAGAGCTGTACCGTGATCTGAACAAGCGCGCGTTCATGAAGGCCGCGCAGAAGCTCGTGCCGTCTGTCACAGAGGACATGACCGAGATGAGCTTTGCCGGCGTCATGGTGCAGGTGTGATTGTGTGTGTGTGTGTGTGTGTGTGTGTGTGTGTGTGTGTGTGTGTGTGTGTGTGCGTGCGTGTGTGTGTGTGTGTGTGTGTGTGTGTGTGTGTGTGTGTGCGTGTGCATGCGGCATAGCTTTGTGCATTTGAAACACATTCTCGTGTCTCCTGTTGCTTCTTCTCCTTCGCTCACATCCAACTACCTTCCACCACCACCACCACCACCACCACCACCACCACCACCACCACCACCAGGTGATGACGAGCGACGGCAACGCGGCCTCCGACTTCATCTTCGAGCGCGCGTGCATGAACGGCAAAGCGCTGCACGTGCGCAGCGCGCCCTCGCCGGCCTGCACCAGCTCAATGGCCATTGCCGAGTGGATTGTCGACGTCGCCCAGACTGACTTCAAATGGGTGTCAGGTGAACGGCAGCAGCAGTGGCAGTAGCGACACCACACTTCGCACCTCGCACCACCATCTCCGCCACCACAACCAACAGGAGCTGTGGAGGGCTAACAGCGTCTTACTTGCTTTGTCTTGGAATTGAGTGTTGTCTTCACACAAGAGGTTACTCCTGTGAGGGGTGCTGTTACCGCCCGCGCTCGTTCAATTGACTTGTGCGCGCCAGTTGAATGGCATTGCTTTTCTGTCATGTTATTCCCTTCGTCTCTTGCGAGAGACTTGATGTTTTCTCAAGCCCTTGTTGCTCCGGTATTGTTGTTTTCGTGTCACTTTCACGACGCAACACCAAACCACCAGCAAAACCAGCACAACCGCAACCACAACCACCAGCACAACCACAGCCACAACACCCACAACCTTAAAGCCCACGCTCAATGCTGCACACGTTGGGCGTGCAGACCCGCCATTCTCTTCACCAATAAGCGATGAACGGCATCTTCACACGTGAATGGATTTACTACAGTAGTCATGGCACGCACGGGCAGAGGAAGAGAGACAACGACACAGCGAAGGGGCGAGAGAGTGTGTGTGTGAGTGAGTGTGTAAGCAAGCAAGTGAGCGAGTGAGTGAGTAAGATGCGCAAAGTCAGCGAGCGAGCAAGCAAGCAAGCAGGGCAAGCGGCACACAGCGTGAGAGGAAACGCATGCATGCGCAAGTGGGTTGTGATACCAGTGCAGAGCACGACAATCAGTCACGCATGCATCCGTGGAGTCAAAACGAGAGAAGAGAGAGAGAGGGAGGAAGAGGGAAAATACACATCGTGCAAGTGGTGATTGCGGTGACAGTGAGGCGTGGCCGGGGCGCGGTTGGTGCTGGCGCGGCTTAGAATGTTGCAATCTGGTCTGGGGTGAAGCCAATCTGTTTGAGCAAGTCGTCAGTGTACGAGGTGTGAGTGAGTGAGTGAGTGAGTGAGTGAGTGAGTGAGTGAGTGAGTGAGTGAGTGAGTGAGTGAGTGAGTGGGTGAGTGGCTGGGTGTAGCTCTCTGTCTTTGTCTCTGTCTCTGTCTCTGCCTGTCTGTCCATCTGTCTGTCTGTCTCGCCCGCCCCCCTCCTTCTGTCTGTGCACATACTAGCGCACACGTGTCTGTGGGCAAGTGAAAGGGCACACCTTCTCGAGGTTTGGCATGCAGGCGAACTTGATCATGGGCGGGGGTCCACACATGAGAATCTGGCGTGGACAGCAGGTGATCGTGATTGGGAGACGGGAGGATGGGGGATGGGGGACAAGGGAGGAGTGAGATGAATGCAACGGCGGTAAATTGATGCTGTTGACAGGCTCATACACCACAGAATTGCGGAGAAACAGGCGCACACAAACAGACATACACATACACACACTCACATACACACACATACATACATACACACACTCACATACACACACACATACATACATGCATACACACACTCACATACATACATACATACATACATACATACATACATACATACATACATACATACATACATACATACATACATACATACATACATACATACATACAACAGACCTGCGTGTCGTTTGCGGGGCCGGGGAGGTGCTTACGGATCATCTCCTCGTCGATGAATCCCTCACTGTACTTCCACCCCTGTGGCGGGCGATCGAGTGTGTACCAGATGTGCACACGTGGGTCCTTGGCGCACTTCTCGAGCTGGTCGTGCACGAGAATGTCCTGCTCCGTCTGGTTGGCGAAGATGAGGTGGATCTCCGTCTTGTCGTTCGGGTGCTTCAGCACATCTTGGATAATCTGTGGGCGCGGGAGTGTGTGTGTTTGTGTGTGTGTGTGTGTGTGTGTGTGTGTGTGTGTGTGTGTGTGTGTGTGTGTGTGTGTGTGTGTGTGTGTGTGTGTGTGTGTTGTGTGTGTGTGTGTAGTTATGCGGAGTTGTGCGTGATTGGTGGTGATAGTGTGGTAGTTGGGGATGTGAGGGACGGGGTGAAGGGGCCATTGGATGCAAGGGGGAAGCGGTAAGGAACTAACACCAGACAGAGCAACAGCAACAACAAAGAACCAACGCAGATACAACAGAGCGCCTGCACACACACACACACACACACACACACACACCACACCACACCACACCACACCACATACCTGGAGCATGGGGGTGATGCCTGTGCCGCCGGCCATCATGCCAATCTTCTTCACGTGGCGGCGGCGGGGCGGAAGCTTCTTCGACTTGTCGGCAAACTCAAAGTGGCCGTTGCCGAGGTAGGTGATGTGGCCAGCAGGGCCGCGCACGTCAATGGTGTCGCCAATCTTCAACGTCTCCAGGTACTGCGACATCTTGCCGCCCTCTGGGAACTTGGGGTGCACGTTCTTGCGGTACACCTTCACCACGAGGTCAAAGTAGCCCAGGTCGTCGTCAGAGGACACGGGCGTGTACGCGCGGATCACCGTCCGCCCGTCAACCTGGCGCCAGCGAGCAGAGAGGTGGAGAGAGGGGGAAGATTTGGGGGGGGGGGGTGTGAATGGAGGGCGAACGGCGTTGCGTCGTGTTGTGTTGTGGTGTGGTGTGGTGTGGTGTGGTGTGGTGTGGTGTGGTGTGGTGTGGTGTGGTGTGGTGTGGTGTGTTGTGTTGTTGTGTGCTGTGTTGTGTTGTGTGTGTGTTTGCGCATGTGCGTGCATGTGTGTATGTGTGTGGTGTGGTGTGTGAATGACATCATGTGTGCATGGCGACGACGTCCCATGTGTGGTGGGTTGCAGGTCAAAGGTTGTGTTGCTGTCGATGGTGCATGCTGCGTATATGCCTGCGACTGTAGCTGGCATCATGTATGTGATCGGACTACGCCATACCTTGGCAACAAGGTTCATGTGTTGGCCGACGGGGAGGCCGAGCTTGTGGTCCTTGGATTGCAGCGAGAAGCGGAAGAGCTTTGTGTCGTGTGTCAGCTCCTGTCAAAGAAACGGGGGAGAGAAGGGGAGGGAAGTTCGCGTGCGAAGTGAATCCAACGACACAAAGGCAATGAGGGGGCATGGCGGGGTTGTTATACGCGTTCAGATGACCAGAAGAAGCACGCCGGCACATCAGGGTTGTATACGTGCGTCTCACATTCACACACTGAGACGTACACACACACACACACACACACACAGACACACACACAGGTACAGACACAGACACACACACGGACACACGGACACACAGACACACGCACCGTGACGCTCTCGAGGGGGAAGGGGATCTTCTTGGAAGGATCCAAGGCCACTGGCTGGTTGAAGAGGACCTTCATGAAGAAAGCGCCGCCAAGGCCAGCAATCAGCGCACCAATTGCAGCAGGAATGCTGATTGCCCACCCAGCGCCGGCAGCAAGCGTGCCAACAAAGCCAACCGTCCTGCGTGTGTATGTGCGCATGAGTGTGTGTGTGTGCATAAGTGTGTGAGGGAGAGTGTGTGTGTGCATGGGTGCATGGGTGTGTGTGCATAAGTGTGTGCGTGAGTGTGTGTGTGTGTTGAGTGATGGTCAGTGATCGCGCAAGAGGCTGATTTGGGAAACAACGGCCTGTGTTGTGGAGTGCGTCTAAACATGCAGATAGGTGCACTGAACACAAAACCACCCAATGCGCTCACCTCCAGTTGATGCTTGGCATGGTTGTTTGCTCTCTGTGTGTGTTGTGGAGGAGAAATAGAGTGCCTGGTGGTGGTGGCAGCGACAAGATTAGTGCGTGATGTGAGTGATCGAGTGCGTGTGCGTGAGCGTGAGCGGTAGACGGATGGATGGGGTTGGTTGGAGGACACAAGCATCAAACACAACACCAAACACAACACCACGAGGCCACCACACCTTCTGCTGCTGCTGCTGCTGTTGTGCTTCGAAAAAAAAAATTGCGTATGTTGAAATTCGTGTCTGACACGATATTTTACTCCAGAATTGATTTTTTTTTTATTCTTCAACACACACACAGCACAAGAAGACAACACGGTCTGTGATGATGGAGGGAACAGCGTGTGGAGATGCGGAGATGTATGCGTGGATGTGAGCGTGAATGTGAGTGTGTGTTGCAGATACGAGCGATGCAAACACCCATGTAACCACAGTTAGCCTGTGAACTCACTCCCACACCTACGCGCACGCGCAGACACAAACAGCACACAGCAGAGGAACAACCAGCAATCATGGCGGAAATGACCTTCAACATGGACGATGGCTACTTTGAGGGCCTCGTGCGTGGCTTCAAGGGTGGCCTTCTCACCCGTGGCGACTACGCCAACCTCAGCCAATGTGAAACCCTCGAAGGTACGCGTGCGTGTGTGTGTGTGTGTGTGTGCGTGTGTGAATGTGTGAGTGAATGTGCGTGTATGTGTGAGTGTGTGTGTGTGCGAATGTGCGAGTATGTGTGTCCGTACACATACGTGCGTGTTTGATCACACACACACACGCGAAGAGCTTTCACCAAGGCCTAATACCCCGTTATTCTTACACTCCCTATACTCGTGTTTGTTCGGACTTCGTTCCGTTTTATTGCTTCTCCTCCCTGCACCGTCTGTTCACCCCGTTCCCAACCCACACAAACACACACAAACACACACACACACACACACACGCACACGCACACACACTCGCGCACGCGCGACTGGACCCAATAGATTTGAAGCTGCATCTTGCAACGACACAGTATGGCAACTTCCTGTCCAACGAGCCGAGCCCGCTTGCCGTGTCCACCATTGACGCCAAGCTGAAGGAGCGCATGGTGAGCGAGTTCCAGCACCTGCGCAAGCAAGCCGTGCAGCCGCTTGCAAAGTTCCTCGACTACATCTCCTACGGTTACATGATCGACAACATCATCCTCCTCATCACCGGCATCCTCCACGAGCGCGACGTCGCGGAGGTGTGTGTGTTTGTGCATGTGTCCGTGCATGTGCGTGTGTGTCTGTGTGTGTGTCTGTGTCTGTGTGTCGGTGCATGTCTGTGTGTGTCTGTGTGTCTGTGTGTGAAGCCGTGGATGGAAACATGCGCGCACGAGTGTTTCACCTTTTGCACACCTTTTGCACACCTGTGCACACTTTTCCCACACCGCCCATCTTTGTTATGCTCACGCTGCACCCTTGTCACGTGATTTGGCGGGTACAGTTGATTCCCAAGTGCCACCCGCTCGGCGTGTTCCCGGAGCTGAAGACGCTCTCCATCGCCAACACAACCGAGGAGCTCTACAACTCCGTCCTCGTCGACACCCCGCTTGGTCCGCCCACCTGTCTCCTTTGCTTTGTTCTCTGGCGGCTGCGATTTTCGTGTGATTGTGCGCGCGCGCGCGCGTGTGTGTGCGGGTGTGTGTGTGTGTGTGTGTGTGTGTGTGTGTGTGTGTGTGTGTGTGTGTGTGTGTGTGTGTGGGTGTGGGTGTGTGTGTGTGTGTGTGTGTGCGGGTGTGTGTGTGTGTAAATGTCCCGCATGAAGTCACCTAACATTTCCTCCACCCCAATCACCAAAACCACCACCACCACCGCTGCTATGCAAACAGCGCCGTACTTCCTCGAGTGCGTGACGCGCCAGGATCTGGACGAACTGAACATTGAGATTATCCGCAACACGCTCTACCGCGCGTACATTGAGGACTTTTACAAATTCTGCAAGTCCATTGGCGGCGCTACGGAGGACGTCATGTGCGAGATCCTCGCCGTGAGTTTATATCATCCCTTGCTAATGCATTCCTGTCGCTCGCTTGGTGGCACTCGTGGCGGTTGTTGTTGTGGTGTGGTGCTTGTTGTTGTTGTTGTTTAAGTTGTTGTTTAAGTTGTTGTTTAAGCTGTTGTTGTTTCAGTTGTTGTTGTTGTTGTTGTTGTTGTTGTTGTTGTTGTTGTTGTTGTTGTTGTTGTTGTTGTTGTTGTTGTTGTTGTTGTTGTTGCAGCCTTTGTTGCAGCCTTTGTTGTTGTTGTTGTTGTTGCAGCCTTTGTTGCAGCCTTTGTTGTTGTTGCTGGTACGCATCGTTTTGGGGGTCCCCGCTCATGCTTGCTCCTCCTCACTGTGCGTGTGTGCAGTTTGAGGCTGACCGCCGCGCCTTCAACATCACGATCAACTCCTTTGGCACCGAGCTCACAAAGGAGGACCGCATGAAGGTGTGTGTGGTGGTGAAGGTGTGTGTGGTGGCGGCAGCGACTCGCATGCTGTGCAGGGTCGCCCTTCTTGTGGTGGTGGCGTCGTGCGCGTTCGTGTTGTGTTTTGATCGCATCCGTTTGTTTGAGCGCTCTACCCCGTGCATGTTTTGGGCTCCGTTGCCGCTTGTCGCCATCCCTCACCACTGCCACATTCACTATCACCACCACCATCACCGTCACCACCACCACCACCGCTAACCACACACCTCCCCCCCCCCTTTACTCTTTCTCCGCGTGATCAGCTGTACCCGCGCGTTGGCCGGCTGTACCCTGCTGGCCTGAAGATGCTTGCGGACTGCAGCGACTACGAGGAGGTGGTGCGCGTTGCCGAATATTATGCGGAATACCGGCCAATGTTCGACACGGGCGCCGCCACGCCGGGCGAGAAGACCTTGGAGGACAAGTTCTTCGAGTACGAGGTGCGATTTTGTGTGTGTGTGTGTGTGTGTGTAACTGTGTGTGTTTGTGTGTGTCTGTGTGTGTAACTGTGTCTGTGTGTGTGTGTGTGTCTGTGTGCCTGTGTGTCTGTCTGTGTGTCTGTGTGTGCAGTTAGGTTATTGCGTGGTGAGCTGCTTGCTTTCTTGTGCGCGTGTGTGGGCCTTGTTCCTATTCTCACAACCACCATGGTCATACCACCATCACCACCACACCACCATCGTCCTCAGGCGAAGCTGAACATCAAGGCGTTTATGCAGCAGTTCCAGTACGGCGTGTTCTATGCGTTTGTGAAGCTCAAGGAGCAGGAGGGCCGCAACATTGTCTGGATCTCAGAGTGCATTGCGCAGAAGAACAAGTCCAAGATTGACAACTACGTCAACCTCATCGACTAAGCAGCACAACCAGCACAAACCACAGCCACTGCCAGCAACTGCAGCAGAAGCAAGCACAATTTCTTCAACAGTAGCCCCAAACGACAGGCACAGCCAACGGAAACAGCACTCCACACAACAGCTTCAACCCCGTTGCTGTTGTGCTGCTTTGCTGCTGTTGGTTGCCGTGTCAAATCCGTGTTCGCTTCTCGCACGCTTACTTTCTTCGCCATCATAGCCCACTACTACCTCTACCCGTTCCGTATGTCTGTCAGTGTGTATGTGTGTGTGTGTGTGTATGTGTGTGTGTGTGTGGATGTTCTTTTTTCCTTCCGCCTGCCATTGTGTTGAGCCTTGACGTCTGTTGTTGTCCCCTGTGTGTGGTTTTGTGTATGATTGCGTGCTGCACGTTTGCATGCGTGTGTTTGCACTTTGTGTGTTGCGTGTTGTGCGTGTGTGTTCTGTATCCGTGTGTGTCTTGTGTCGAGGCTTTAATACAACCACAACAAAAGCAAGCAAGATGGACGTAATGCTGTCAACATCATCAGTCGGTTATTTCTTCCTCATCTATCACATGTCCACCGAGTCGTTGTCGTCATCAGCACCGCGATCCAGCAACAATGCACCATGGCGATAATCATATTCACGTCTTCAAAACACACCAACATCCTCCTCTATGATCCCCTCCTTCCATATCCGCCCTCTCATATCCTTCGCCTCCTCCCGCCTGTCGGCATCATCTTCAAGACGCGCGGCCAAAACCTGCAAAGCGCGCCAGCCAGCTCTCGCGGACGCGGGACGCCGCCGCAGTTCCGCACGCTGTTGGGTGGCGTGGCTGTGGTCGTTGGCGCTGCTGCTGGCGTTGCTGCTGCTGGACGGTGCTGCAGCTGTGGTCCTCGGGGAAGCGATGCTTGGCGCAGTAGTGCTGGTGGCACGTGCGGCAGGCAATGGGGAACTGCAGGGCCTGCTTGCAGCCCTTGGCACGGCACCTGGGTGTCCTCTGCGCCTTTTTCTTCTCTGCCGCCTCCAGCAAATGGCTCTTGCATCCGGAAGCAATGTGCTTGTCAACAATGGCGTCCACGCTCATCGGCTTTCCGGTTTGCTTGTCCTTTACAGCATTCACCAAATACTGACTGCACACGGGGCAGCGCGGTACTTGTTTCTGTTTGCAAGTGCGAGTTGAGCATTGGGTGAGAACGAGCATTGGGGTGAGCTGGGTGGGGAAGGGATATCAAGAACAGCCAATGGAGAGAAGAGAGAGAGTGCACATATACAGAGGAGGATAGCGTGTGGAGAGGCAGACAAGCAAAGACAGACAGACGCAGACACACACATACACACAGACACACAAACAAACACGCACACAAACAATCAAACAGACACACAAACAAACACGCACACAAACAATCAAACAAACAGACAGACAGACAGACAGACAGACAGACAGACAGACAGACAGACAGACAGACAGACAGACAAACAAACTCACGTCGTGGATGGGGTTGGCGCAGTTGTGGTCGTTGCGGTGGTCGTGGCAGGTGACTGCCTTGCATCGATGACAGGTGTAAGGCAAAAAGTCGAGCTGCTTGCATGTCTTGACGCAGCAATGGGTTCCAATGGACAGGAAGTCTGTCTTCTCCACCAACTCCTGCCTCTCCTTTTCCTTCTGCTTTGCGTTTGCGCTCTTGCTCGGCGCGTCCCTCCACAGCAGTTGCTGCTTCTCACCATCCATCTTCGTCTTAGCTGCTCGCTGTACGCCCTGTATCTGACTGTGAACAGGTGTCTGTCTGTCTGTCTGCCTGTCTGTCGAGTTGTTTGGTTGCCGTAAGTGCTGTCAGTCTGTGCGTGCTTGTTGTCGTTGCCTGTCGTTTGCGTTCGACATGAAGGAAAATGACGACTCGTCAAACATGTCATCGTCATCGTCATCATCGTCATCTCGGTTGCGCAGTCAGCGCTGCGTCATCATTATGACTCCATTTTGTGGTGTTCCAGACGGTTCCAGCAGCTTCTTCTTCAAACACTGAGTTCAGTCGCACCCAAGATGGAGCAGCCGGAGCAGGAGCAGGAGCAGCAGAGCGAGATGCTGTCCCAAGGGCTGTTGGGGATGTGGCAGCCCATGGTGGCACAGCTCCAAGACACCCTCCACGAGATTGTGTACGTGTATGAGGGGGAAGGAATGTGTGTGTGTGCGTGTGTGCGTGTGTGTGTGTGTGTGTGTGTGTGTGTGTGTGTGTGTGTGTGTGTGTGTGGATGGCGGTAGCAAGCAAAACAGCAGGGTGTTTATAATTCAGGGTTGTTGCAGTGGGCATCTGTTTGTTTATGTGGTGTGTGGTGTTATGAACGACTGCTCTGTTCGTTGAATGACTCGTGTGGTCATTGGGGGACAGATACGCACACAGACACTCGCACACACACGCACGCACATACACGCTCACGCACACTCATACACGCTCACGCACACTCACACACTCACACTCGCACTCACACACACTCCAATTTGGTTTTGCAGAGAGTCACAGGAGGAGCTCGTTGCACGTGTGTCGGAGGAATCGTCCAACGTTGCAACTAACAAGGCCTTGGAGGAAGTCGCCCTTGTGGTTAGTGTGTATGTGCACTGTTTGTTTGCACACATGCTCTTCATCCAGTGTTCATGTGATTCTGTTCTGGTGCAGTGCCGCATGTGCGTTTCCCTTCTGTCATCAACTTCCTCACACTGCCTGTAATGCGTGCGCGGCCGACCTGCGGGCAGATGTCGCAAGTACCCACGTACACACAGAAGCTGGTGCAGATCCGCAAGGACATGGTCTCGCTTCACGAAAAGAGCAATCGCATGAAGGTGCGTGCGTGCTTGCATTGCACGCGTGCTGGTTGAGACGGGGAAGCGCTGGTGTGAGTTGAATTGATGAGGGATCCGATGTGAAGTGTGTGTGGGGGGGGGGATTGGTGGGGGTGTTTTCCGCTTGCACCCACACATGTACACACACATGCACACACACACACATGTACACACACATGTGCACACACACACATATGTACACACACACACACATGTACACACACACACATGCACGTCACACAAATACTTTCGCACACGCGCGCACACACGCACCTCCATGCCTGTAGAAGCGTGCCGAGAAGCTGGCGCTGCAGCAGTCGACGCAGGCGCAAAGGGCGGCACAGCAGGCGGAGCAGGAGCGTCAGCGGGAGCGAAGATTACAGGCACGCCCCGTGGAGGACGTGCTGCCAACACAGCCCGCAGCCATCAAGAAGAAGACAAAGAAGCGCACAAGCACGAGCAGCGCAACCAGCACAGGCAGCACTCCCGCGCAGGATCGCGGCATCATCGTTGTCAACCCCGGCCCAAAGGCCGCAACTACCACCACCACCAACACCGCCAACACTTCCAACACCACCACCGCCAACACTTCCAACACCACCACCACCACCGCCAAGGGTGATGAGGCACCGCAGTAGGCATCTTTAGGCACGCACGCCCTGGTGCCACACGCATTGGCATTGGTTGTGTTTTGGCTTTCCGCTGATTTGCTTTTCACCCCGTTTGTGGCCCTTTGATACGCAGACACACGCAAGTTTGCTTCGTATGTTGCGTGTTTGCTTCGTCACAGTGCTTCACTGTGGTGCTGCACACTGTTACATGATCGTGGCGTGCGGCTGTTCCCACGCCAAATGGAGTTTGAATACACACAGGCGAGCGAGCACACTGGAATCATCATGTGGTATGGGCAGTGGTGTGTGGATCTATGTATGTACAAGGCAAGAGCACACAGGAGGGACACCAGGGTCAAATACAAACCGGGGAACGTGCAGGAAGAGGAGAGCGGGGGGGGGGAGGAGGAGAAGGCAGGGTGGTCCATGGGCAGCTCGGTCCAACCAACGTACAGGACGGAGGGACAGGGCAACGGTTAGGCTGCGAGACAAGAAGGCGCGCCACAACCATGGCCCGAAAGAACAAGGACGTGTAATGTGTAATGTAATGACATGCGACACACCGACACACACACGCGCGTGTGCTGGCACGTGTGCGTGATGCCGTCTGGATGGGATGCGCGTCCTGCCTGCGTTCAGGTGCTGGTGCGGTCCACGAGGGTGTCGCTGATTGCTGTGGTCATAGGAGGACAACAAAACGAGTGTTGGTGGTGGTGGTGGTGGTGGGGAGGGGGCAAAAGACGTCGATATGAGATACAAAGCAAGCCAGCAAGCAGTCAAACGTGCAAGCTAGCGAGCCGGAAAGCAAGCAAGCCGTGCATGCGATGGCGGATGCGGAACATACATGACAGCTGCTCGCAGTTGTTGATGAACGTGTGCAAGTCCTGATTGGGCAACACAAGAAGCCAAACAAAAGTGGGAAAGAAATTAAGTCGGAAGCAAGAGCAACAGCTGAAAGCAGAAGCAACAACTCTACTTCTCACCATCAAACCCTTCAACCACCAACACCCACACCCACACCCACCCACACACCCACACACCCACACACACACACGCACACACACACACACACACACAAACACACACACACACACACACACACACAAACACACACACACGCACACACACACACACCTGATCAATGCCTTGGAGCAAGAGGCGGAGGCCTTGCATGGACGCGCGGACGTGTTGCAACGTCTTCACGCGGCGCTGGATGTCCTTGCGGTCCAATTGCAGCAGCGGCGTCGAGGAGGCTGTCGGGTTCTTCTGCTGTCCGTGACGTGGGTGCTTTGGGCTGGTCCGTGGGCTGGTTCGGGTCGGTGTTCGACTGCGCCCTCGCTGCTTGTGCTGCTGCGACTGCTGTTGAGATTGCAACTGCTGCGACTGCTGCGGCTGCTGTGATGTGTACTGGCTGCTGTCGTCGTCATCATCATCGTTGTGGCGGTGGTGTCGTTTCGGTTGAGATGATTGTGTTGAGGACTGGGATGACGCGTCGCCCTGTTCCTTGTGCTGCCTTCTCTGTTCTGCACGCGCCTCGCGAGGGGTTGTTGCCGTTGCAGTGGAAGCTGATGGTGTTGGTTTCTTCCTTGGTGTCTTTGCCTTCCCTGTTCCTTTGGTTGGCGTTTGCCGCCAGCTCACGCGTGGACTTCTCCGCAGCCCGCCTCCATGGTTTTCACCTCCTGCTTCTTCCCTTGCCACCCTCGCCGTCGCTGCCGCACGTCCTCGCGTCCTCGGCGAAGACATGCTTGCGGGTGTGTGTATGTGTGTATGTGTGTGTGTGTGTGTGCGTGTTTGTGTGTGTGTAGCGACGTGTGCGTGTGTGTGTGTGCGTGTGTGTGTGTATGTCTGAGTGTGTGTGTTTGTGTGTGTGTGTGTGTGTAGCGACGTGTGCGTGTGTGTGCGTGTGTGTTCCACTGCCACCTCACATCAACTCACATCAACAGCGCAGTCGGTTGTCGTTGTTGTCTGTGAGGTTTGGCCGTTTTCCTTGGCTTTGCACAAATTGCATGGAGTGATCAAAAGCAAAGTGTGCGTTATTTTGCACAGAATAGTCAGGGCAGAAATTTTCTGCGCTGCCAGTGGCGAAGGGAGAGTGTCGTAGGTTGCAAGGAGAGGGCCGCGGTTGCTGCACGACGTCAAACAGTCACAAAGCGAAGCAAAGCAAAGCGAGGCGAAGCAAAGCAAAGCAAGCGTCGTGTGTGTGCCGGAGGTAAGCAAGAAGCAACACCACGACACACAAGCAAGCAAGGGAGACGCTTGGTTTGCTCGATCGCACAACAAACACAAAGCGAAAGCGAGCGGAGAAGAAACAGAAGAGAGACAAACCTGTCTGTGCTTTCCTTGCTGGTATGTGTGTGTGTGTGTGTGTGTGTGTGTGTGTGTGTGTGTCAAGATGTCAAAGGATGTATGGATGGATGGATGGGTGGATGGATGGATGGATGGATCCTTTCGAATTGGCTTCTTTTTTTGCCCAAACGAGCTTCATTGGCTCATGCTCAGTCTGTCACGCCACTCACCAACAAACCCCTCCTCGCGCATTCACCCCTCCTCTACAAACAACAACAGCACCACAACCACAACCGCAACAAAGAACACCAACAACACCACGCACATCGCAGGGACTGAGCGATTCGTGACCATCTTCCCAAACAAGAGCTCCAAACCAGCCAGGATGGCAATGGTCACTCCAGTCGTGGAGAAGGACAAGCACATGGTCCCTCCACAGGACCTTGTGCAGCCCAGCACAAGCACAGATCAGGGACGCGAGCAGCAGCGCGATGATGACCTGGTGAGCGTGAACGTCGGGGGCTTTTGTGTGCGCGCGTGTGTGTTTTGTGTGTGTGTGTTGTGTGTGTGTGTGTGTTGTGTTGTGTTGTGTTGTGTTGTGTTGTGTTGTGTTGTGTTGTTGCTTGTATTGTGAGCGATGCCACCCAACACCAACTCGCTGCTGATCCACCGCGGTTGTCCTCGACCAAACACAATACACGCGCACACACGCGCACACGCACACACACATACACACATACACACGCACGCACGCGCACATACACACGCGCACGCACGCACTGCACAATGCGTTCAGGCTCGCATGCTGAAGCTGCGCATGACGGATCCAGAACTGCAGGCCACGGCGCAGCCACTGTCCGACCAGATTACCGACAGCGTTGTCGACATGGTCACTCTTGCAGCACCGTGGTACCACGGTCGTAGACCAAGGCACTCGGTGCG